TGCTCACAATCGTCGACCTTCTTTAAATCCCCTTCCTTACATTTTCTATTGCACTTTTTACTCTTTATTTCATGTTTGCACTTTTTACACCCATTCCTGCAATAATTTAGTCCGCCTAGTACTGTGTTAAATTTCTTTCTTGATGGGAGCTTTGTTTTTGTGAAGGGCTCAGGATCATTCTATTCGTATGGGTACTCACTTTTTTGTATAAGTAATGGAAGCAAATGCTGAGGAATACTCTGTGCTATAATTGGAAAACATTTGGCCAATTGCTCTGGGGTCTTTTCTTGACCATACAAATTACTTGCTACTTTCCTAATGACGCAAATTGAAATTGGCAGGAGTCTATAAATTTTATCTGGCCAATTATTATTGTCTTATAGTTCTCTTAGTTGTCCGCAATTATTTTGATTTTGTCTTCACTAATTAGGCCTAATTCCCGTATTTCATGATGGAAGTCATAATGCTTCCCACCATGATATATTAATAGAATCTTAATTTTATCTGGCTTAATACGGAGTTGAAGATTACAGCCACGGTGTGCTGGACCACGATATTTTCCAGTGAAATGATCATGATCTCTAACCTTGTTTTTATTTATATCAGCTTGAAGTTTTATCTTACATATACAACATTCGGACGCTGTTTTGAATATATTTTTTTCTTCTATACTTAAACCTTCTGTATGATACATAGCCTCTGCTAGTTTTTCTTCTGTGGCCTCACATTTGATTTTAACACAGCTATAATATGATGCATCTATGAATTTTCTAGAAGTATCGAAATATTTTACTTTATTATATCGGGTTTCATGTAGAGGACCTTTACATATATAACATTTTCTGGCAGAGTTATGTGTTTGCCAATAATGTTCTGTCATTTTTATTTTTTCTGGATTCGCAACTTTGGCTTGATAATTTCTTCCAAGTCTTGTTGCATGCTTTCCTATGACTCTGCAATTGAGTTTAGAGTTCGCCTAACAATTTCTTTTGCAAGCTTCCCATCTGTTTGGATCAATGTATAGCCATAACTATTAGGCTTCTGCTTCTGTAGTTTAACGGTCTTTTCATTGATAATGTTATTCTCTACTGGATCACTATCTGCTTCAAGATCTTTAACAAAATAAAATAGTATGTTTTCTATTGCCTTATAATTTTTGAATTTCATAATATGCTTACCTTTTTCTAGAAAGATTTCTTTTTGCCCAGCATTAAGATTATTTCGATCTTAACAGTTGTACTTTATATGTTTTTCAAGCAGATCCTTTCTTGAAAATAGGGCAATCATACAGTGACGGCAGAAATATTTATACGCATGATGCTTATTCCAATTTTGTATGATCCTATTCCATCCATTTTCACCATTAATGAGACAGTAATAAGTATTTAATCATGGAGAGATTTCATTAATATTACGGCGATCCCTCAAATCTTCTTCTCCTTCAGTAAATAAAATTAAATCTACCATATACTCTCTTTGATAATTATACTCCGATAAACAGAGTAGATCCAACTTTCTAGTTGCTTGCTCTTTATCATTTTTTTCTGGCGCAGGATAGAATATATTTACTGTGTAATTTAGATTATTTTCTTCGAATATATTGATATCATGTAATGTGGATGGAAAATTTATATCAGAGAAGTCTAGTATATTATTAAAGCGTTGTAGTCTACTAATATCATGAAGATTTCTTGCTTTTTGACCTTGTCTACAGGCCTCTTCACTTGCTAAATAAGCTTTTATATATGCTTCGAAACATCTTTCGTCTGTATTTTGAGGGTTAATTATTCCTAATTAAGGCTTGGCCCATATTTTTGATAATGAAAAATAGGAACTGCCTTGGAGTGGTTAGTACGCACTTATTTCTAGAAAGATCTTTTTTCCATACTCATATATCTAACCTGAATATTGATTTCACTCCATTTCATCGATTTTATCTAAGATTTCATTATACTGACGTGAAACTGTTTGGTCTATTCTATCCTGGCGAATAATATCTAAAATTTTACTTGGAAATGCTATGTCTTGATCTATTCGATGTCCAAAATGCCCTCCTTGTGCAATCTAATACATATGAGCAATAAAAACTATTTTTATTTTAATACCTTCTAATTGAGCTAATTTTCTTCTATAAACATCGCTAATTTGGTCTTCAACATTCTCGAACATGACTAAGGGATCTTCTTGATATAGATAAGTTTCTGGAATAATAGCAAGATGATTGATACATAAATCTTGGTCAGAAATTCTTCTAGTTTCTACTAATCTTTTTGGAGCTGGATCTTCTATTCTTCGAAATATTAGGTTTTCTTCTTCAGATTCTGACTTGTTATCAGATTCAGATTTAGAATCTGATATATCTCCTTCATCTGCAATCTCATAGTTGCTTTCCCTCTCCTCTGATCCTTCTTCTGGTTCTAGTAGCTCAGAAGGTTCATGTAACTCAGGTGGCGTTGGGTCTCCCCAGCTTGGTAAGAGATTTCCGAACAATCGTCCTAATACACCGGTGATAGTACTAAGTATTCACTCATATTTTCTTAAAGATTATATATAGTTATAAAAAAAATTAATTTATTCGGATAATTATAGTTACATATTTATTCAAAAAACAAACCAATATAGGATTTTATAAATGTCCATATATTCTTAGGTCTGGAGAAGTATGCAATGAGGGTGCTATCGAGAAGAAAGGTATAAAGTTCATTGGAAATCTCCTAATCGAGTTCCCTGTATAGAATGCAGAAAATTAACTTTCTCTATTTATAGTGCTTGTAGAAAACATGCAGGTAAATATCGCATTCGAGATTTTTATCAGTGTTAAAAGCTTGCAAAAATTCAGGCAAATGATGGTCTAGTGATGAGCTAGTACCAGAGATATTTCCAGAACCCAAAATGTATACATTTATATTATATTGTTTTTTACCTTGAGGTGAAAATTATGATCCTATTTGCTTATAATATTAGTATTTATTATATGCTTTTTAGTTTGTTTACATATACTTTGCTTTGCTTCACACTTCGCTCTGCCTATAGTAAACCATATATTGCATTTATTATATGCTTTATGGTTTGTTTACATATGCTTTGCTTCACTTCGCACAAAAGCTTCGCTTTGCTCTGCCTATAGTAAACCTTATCTTGTATTCATGATTGCTTTTGAATATGCCTCATTTATTAGCATATACTAGAATAGTAGCATATAGGTTAAAAAATATAGCATTCACATTCGTTTCACCCTAAAGGGCTTGCTCATGTTCCTGCTATATTTTTTCTTCTAAGGGTATCCGCATCACCCTAAAGGGTTTATGCTCTTGCCTCTTCTTTAGCTACCTATATGGTATGCTATTGGGAGGCGATTTTTTGATATCTAGGGCAACCTTCTGGGTTCATTTGGAGGTCAAAAGCTTTTTGTACCAAAAAGCCTATTTTTCTACTACTGAGGTATATATATTATATCATCATCCTCTTCATCTTCAAATTCAATTTGAGATTCAACTTCTATTAGAATTACTTTTTTTATAATTTTACTACCTTCACCTTCTTCACTAATACTTATACTTGTAGAAGATTTAAGAGTTACATCTTCTAATATATCAGTTATACCTGTTTGACTTTGAGTTCTTTCTTTATATAAAGATTCAAAATCAACAGATATTTTTTCTTGGAGGTTTATTTTCTCAATACTTTGTTTTTCTTGTTGTTCTTCAACAATTTGTTGTTCTTCAATATTTGTTCCTCTTCAACAATTTGTTGTTCTCCAACATTTTGTTGTTTTGGTCTACCTGGAGTCATTATATCATCTATAACTTGTTGTAGTGTTAATCCAGTATTAGACTATAATTGTTGAGAACTTTCTCCTTAAGTATATTCTTGTTGAGTTTTTTCTTCTTGTTCTTGTTCTTCTTCTGTTTCTTCTTCTTCTTCTATTAGTTCAAGAACTTCTTTCTCTTTACCAACTTCTTGTTGAACATTTGCTCTTAATATTCCTTCATGCCATCCATATTCTCCAAATGGAAATAGTAAAGGATATTGTAAAAGATCATATGCACCATGTAATTTTGATATTCTGGTTAATTTATCATTATATCTTTTTATGATAATATCTCTTTTTTGTTCTGGTTCATAATCTGCATATAATATAGCTATTTCATCAGATGTTGGTATATTATAATTTCTTATATCTTTACTATGAGTATTATGTATGGCTATAAATACTAATATTATTTCTTCTTCATCTTCAACATCTTTTGCATTTATAAATATTTGTGTAAAAGGATTATTTTCATATAATTCATTTTGAAGATGTTGTAACATAGTATAATTTAATGTTCTTTCCATTAAATTATGTCTTCTATTAACTTGAGTATTAAAATCTCTACCATCATAAAAATATATTTGAGCAAATTTTGGTTTAGGTTCTTCATCTTCAATTATTTCAGGTATTAAAGAACCATGTTAGTAATAATGTTGTCTTTGAATTTTATAGATATAACCCTTTTTTAGCATTAGTAAGATTTGTATCCAATCTTGCACCTTCAATTAATATAAAAGCAAATATTTGATTATATACTCTTATTTGATTAATAAAAGGTTTATTAGTATTTGGATTCTCTCCTGTTAAAAGTAATTCTAAAATTTCTGGTAGTAGATTAAGTTGTGCTAATTGGATTTGACCTTTTGAGTAGCATAACCCTTCTGGTTCCCTTTCCATCTTAAAGCTAAACAATATCTATATATAATGTTCATTCTATCTAATCTATGCCTCCTATCTCTGCAATCCTCTTCCTCTATATCCTCATCCTCATGATCATCTAAACTACAATGTCCTATTCTATAAAATTGTT